GCTCATCCCATCCTGGCACCCTTTATGGCTCCTCCAGTCACTGGGACCAGGGGAACTGTGCCCCTGCCTTCCTGCACCCCTGTTAGTTGCTAAGGTTACAGAAAACTAAAGGACAGATTTATCGCTAAAGTGGAGTTTTCCCACAGTTCAGGTGCCTCCTGACCTAGCGAAGCAGCGGCTCCTTGCCACAAAGGGTCTAATATCGCCTAATGCTAATATTCTAACATTCTAACATACTAACATTATACCAACACTAACACTCTCCTTCAATATTTTGCATTTTCTGTGCTATTTAGTCACTTGTGCTTCTAGTTACTACCTTGTCCTTGTCACTGTCAGTAGCTGCAGCCGCCATCATCTCAGACCTTCCTCTCTAACATACCTCCCACCCTGGCCTCTTGACTCCTTACCTACTCCAAGCCCTCCTGGTCTGACCCAATCTATTGATGTTACTACTTTTTACTATATCCTTCCTGACCTTTTCTGGGTTTGCCTGGCTTTGATCCATCATTGTAGCCACTGTCATCATTACCCCGCATGTTCCAGCTGCAGCTTCTTCGTTTTCTCTGGGCGTAGTGTTAGGTTGCAGAGCAGAAGTGACTGCTTTTCTACTAACGTCAAGCTGACACTTCCATCCAGCATTGTAGGGGACCCTACAATGAGTACCCTACACTACAGCTCGTACCTGTGCTCAAACGGAGGAACTGCTGCCTTCTCCCATCCCCTACACTAGGACCTTGTCTGTGTGCAGAAGGTCTGTGTCGCTGTCCTGCAGCGATGGGCTTGCTGCACAAAGTCGATGATAACACATGCAGACTCTGACTGATGGTCAGTAGCCACAGTTTACTAATGGTATCAAACTTTTATAGACCAAGGGTCACATGGGATAAGGGAGGAAGCATTGAGTTTATCTGAGGAACCCATCAGTTGTATCAATTGTTTCTATACTCTTGTTTGGAACTCTTTTCTTTTGTATGTCCTACCTAGTCTTCTCATTCACATGTCATCCACTCAGTTGTTCTCATGAAAGCGATATCCATTTAGTTATACAAAAGGTATCCATTTGGTTGTTCTCATCCAATCAGTCACACAAATGTCATCCATCCAGTTGTTCTCATACAAATGCTATCCAATCAGTTGTAATCCTGTGCTCACTGACCTACTAGGTAGGTGACAATGTCTTTCTACAGGTCTACACCTGTCACAGTGAGTGCCCTACACTACACCTCATACCTGTGCTCAAACTGAGGAACTGCTGCCTTCTCCCAGCCCCCACAACTAAGATGCAGCCCAGTGCTGTATACTCTTGGTGGCTGTTTGCCTCACTTGGTCACCCTTCCATGGGGCAGTGACCTGGCCATATCCCCCACCAGGGAGCAGGCCATCAGACTCTCTCTCCTGATTAGTACAACCCTTTGCCTGACCTAAAAGCCTATCTTGCTCTGCCTGAATCAACTCTGAACCTAATACAGAATGCTACACCTGAGGAAACTGGATGGCCCCTGGACCGCAGACTGGGATTCCTGACAACTCTATATGACCAAAGTGAAGCTCTACTTACTGTATGGCCGTTGAACTCAGGAAACGCTGTTCCCACTCTCCCTGTCTAGATGAAGGGTTGGCAGATGGTTCCTTTAAAGGGTGGAATAGTAAATATTTTCGGTTGTGTGAACCAGGCAGTCTCAGCTACTGCAGTACAGCTCTGCAGTTGTTTGGTGACTAAACATGTGAGCACACGGATGCGACCACACTCTATGGAACACTTCCTTAGCTGCCTTCCAGGACGCTGCGTGTTTGTGTTGATTGGTTGTGATACTCAGGCTCCTGGGATGTTGGAGTTTCCTCAGGCTCAATTCTGTGACCCTTTCTTTTGATATCCTCATGCACTGGGGGACTTGATTTTGTCATGGAGCCCTCAGTACTGACCATTATGAGTTCAGAGTTTCTACGTCCAGATGGGAGTTTTTGGCCTGTGACCCATATTGGAGTACCTGGGCTCAATGGCTCTTCTCCCAATTCCAGCTTCCTGTCAGTGCAAATGGCTGAGGCAGTGGTAATGGCTCAAGGGATTGAGTTCCAGTCACCTTCATGGGAACTGATTGTTCTGGCTTCCGTATTTCATCCTGGCCTAGTCTGCTATTGTAAGCTAGCAGATGGGAACTCTTTTCCCTCTCTCTGCCTCTCAAGTAAAAATTTAAAGTTTTGGATTTTTAAAAATTTGTTTGTTTTGTTTTTTGCCTTCTAATCAGATACTTCTGTACTCTAAGCTTTACCCAGTTACCTGCTTATGCTGACAACCTGCACGTTGGGAAACAGTACGGACTCTCAGTGTATAAAGTCTGATGCCCCTAATAAACTTCGGCTTTGACCATCAGTCAGGGTCCACGCGCGTTGTTATCAGCTCTGTGCACCAAGTCCATCGCTGCGGGACAGCGACACTTGGTCATGGGTTTTACCCTCCTTGCCCTAACTAGAGCAGAAGAACTATTGTTAGGCATCCCCAGTACCTGGAACAATGCGTGGCATCTAGAAGATTCTGAGTGCATATCTGTGTTGAATAAATGAATCTTTGTAGTGTTTGAGAAAGATTTTTTTTTTTCCTGCATTAATCTGTTAAATTCACATAAATGTTAAAATTAGTGGTCATATAAAGGAAAGAGAAATATTTCTCATTCACATCCCCCTCCCCACACCCATGCCCAAAATCAGACTCCATTTGTGCTTGCTCATATGCATAAATAACTGTTACTTGTACTCATGATGTTAGCATGTTGTTAAGTTCTTTTGGGACTGGGTGTTTAGCCTAACTGTCCCACGCTGACTTGCTGGCTCCTGCTCTCGGTCCCAGCTTCTCTACGGCGCAGACTCCTGGCGGCAGCAATGGTGGTTTAACTGGGGTATTGCTGTCCAATGGAAGACTGGAATTCACTATTCCTGGCTCCTGGTGTTGGGACATGTACTAGCAGCTAGGAATGAGTTGGTATTTTATTTTTGTTTTTGTTTTTTGTCTCTCTCAACAAATAAGCATTAAAAGTTGTATTCTTTAGCCACTTAATATCACATCATATCTGTTTGTGCTAATTGTCATGATTATTGTCTTTTACCATTGTAATAATCCCCATTGCCTATGTCTGTTGGTCATTGAAGTGTGCAGAGTTGATTCATTCTCTTTGAAGATTTGTATTTTTCTGCCATGAAAAGTTGAACTTTGAGACTTTGTAAACTTCAGCCTGGTACCAGTAAGTGTGGTATAACTTTTTTTTTAATGTTATAAACTAGATATTACTGGCATAACGAGCAAGGCTTGACTGCTACTCAGTAAGAATTTGTCTTAGAGTATCAGAGGAAACATTAAGAGAAATGCAAATTACCATCGTGTGTGTGTGTGTGTGTGTGTGTGTGTGTGTGTGTGTGTGTGTGTGTGTGTGTGTGTTATGTAAACCTAAGCGGGGTTAATTATGCACCTGACTAAGATTTGAGTAACTTAGAAGCTCTTTGAGGGATCCAAAGTACGCACAAGAACTTGAAACCTGGTGTTTCAAGAACTCTGGTCAGACTTTTCCTCTAAATAAATCTAGGAAATTGACCCCACAAAGTCTTCTCGCACCCAAGGTACAATTCTGTGGTACAAGGTACACTCTGTAGGTGCAATTTCCATAGCTTCGTTCTTTACCACGTCACATACCTTCTCCTTATTGTTTGCCAGGTATTACAGAAATGAAATGGCGTTGAACGAGACTTGATTATTGCCACTTTCTGTTTAGCACAGGACAGTCTAAGTGGCCTTGCTGCCGTGGCTGCTGCTGTTTTGGCCCTTCAGGGCTCACAGCCACACCAGCCCTTCCTGGGCAGCCCACTCCTCATGGGTGAGGCATCTCCCACCCTCCAGTCACTTGCGTCCCTCGTCTATCCATGGCCCCTGCTCTTCTCCTGGGACGTCCACGGGCTACAGATGTTGGTATTTGTTGTTCATTGGCTGAGGACAGTGTAGCAGGCAGGCACTGTTGGAGCAAGCCCAGTTTCTTTGATCTACAGTGCGGGAATAATTCCTAAAACACTTGCCAAACCTAAGACGTGAAAACTAAGAGTACCTGGGGAATACTTGGATGCATTTTGCTAACCTTGGGCTGTAGAAGCATAGTCTGAGCTTTGCCTTTAAGACAGAGCACATTGATAGATTGGGCTCTGAAAACTGAAAAATGTTAGTGATAGGTCAGGAACATGTATGTACAATACATATGACAAGCAGAAGACTATACCCAAGAGCTCTTGTTTATTAACAGAAAAGGCGTTAGAAGCAGAAAAGGTGTATCATGATAGGTAAATGAGGGGAAAGCATCAATAATGATTTACAAAAATACACTAGAGATGGCCAGGAACTTGAAAAAAATGTTCATAATACTGCAGTCATGTTGACATACCAGCTTTTGCCCATTGAATTTTAAAGCATTTGAAAATTATTGATATATTTCTGATGAGTATATAATGAAATGGTAGTGGTCTGTTTTGAAGGTTAGTTCAGCAGTGTTTCTGCCTTGGAACAGGAATTACATTCGAAGAACTTAGCAGATGCGTAGTATAATTGATGCATGTTCAGATGTGTCCGTTGGCATCATCCTGAGAGTTAACAATGAAGAGGTGGAGCTAGCCATAAAGAGATTTTTCTGGAAGTGGCGGGGGGGTGGGGGGTGAAAATTAAAGAGGGAGAAAGTAGGACATGGCAGGAAAGCCCCATCGTTACTGACGACTGTGTGGAAGGAGAGCACTAAAGATCCGACATAGTCTGGGCAGACTGCCCTGTGGTGGAGTCTTGTAGTTCATAAAGGCTGTAGTACAGTTGGGGCTATCACTGACCGCCTTCTGATTTTAGTTTATGTGCTGCCGAAGCGAGCATGCTGACCGGCTCCTGGCCGAAGAACAAGTTGTTGCTGGTTGCTGCAACTAGTGTTGCAGTCAGACTGAGGGCATCTCTCAGGCTGCCAAAAGATGACCATTGATTTTAAAATAAGAAGTGTTTCAAGAATTTGTCATCCTTGCACAGGAGCCATGCTAATCTTCTCTGTATGGTCCCAATCTTAGCATATGTGCTGATGAAGCAAGCACCATTGCAGTGTTACTAAAGGGTGGGAAGAGTGCTGTCTTGGTAGTACCTGGATTCAGAGGCTGGTTCTGCATCCAGGCGCAGCTTCCTGCTCACGTGACCCATGGAGGGAGTGTGTGGTGGCACCTGCCCGGGAGACCCAGGGTGCACCCCTGCCTATGAACGTTGATCTGTACCAGCCTCAGGTACTACGAGCAGCTGGAGTGAGCAAGTAGACAGAAGTTATCTCTGTGTCTAAACAAATAAACAAATCAATAAATAACAAATTACCCTATCTTTTCCTATAATAAGCATTTTCTAATTTAATGTTTATTCTGATTGAAGGATGGAGTAAGATTGTGTTATAATTTTTAATTAATTATTTTCTCATACTGCTCCATAGACTCTGGGATTTCCTCCACCCTCCCCCAATGCATTTCCCCTATTTTATTACAATAACATAACCCTTCAGATACAATCATAAATCCATCATTCTGCTATTTAAGAGTATCCTGACATTGTATGTATAGAGAATGACAGACTCCGGCACCTATTGTCAAGGTATATTAAACAGTTTCATTGGGAGTCCATCTTTGATTTGGAAGTAGAGATGCGTACTGCATTGTATCTTCACATCTCAATATGATAAGCTGTTATACAGTTTAGATAACATGTACATGCGTGTTCACCTGTATCTTTATTGATCTTGTCTTTCACATGCAGGCTGCCTTATATCAAAGGAAACAAATGGTATTTGACCTTTGGGGATTGGCTGACTTCACTGAGCATGATGGTCTCTAGTTGGGACCATTTGGTTGCAAATGGTCTGATTTTGTTCTGTATAATGGCTGAGCAGTAGTCTGTGGAATAGATGTACCACTGTTTCTTTATCCACTCCTCTTTGGACAGGCATCCGGGTTGCTTCCATGTCTTTGTGATTGTAGATTGTGCTGCTGTAAATGTAGGATTTACAGATTCCCTTCTCTTATGCGGATTTCATGTCCTTTGGATATATTTCCAGAAGTGGAATAGCTGGGTCATATGGCAGATCAAATCTCAGTTCTCTTAGTATTCTCCATACTGATGTCCACAGTGAAGGAAGGTACCTTTCTCCCCATATCCATGCCCGACAGGTTTTAGTAGAGTTCTGGATGTAGGCCAGCCTCACTGGAGTTAGCTGAAACCTCCATGCGATTTTCATTTGTATCTCCCTGACATAAGGAGCCTGAGCATTTTTTAATATGTCTAATGAAAATGACACGATTGCTCATTTTCTTCTTCACAGGCTTGTTTTGCTGTCGTGGAGTTTCTGAGGCTCTGTGTCAGTGCTGGCTATCAGTCCCCTATTGCTTGTGTAGTCGTGCAGTTTCTCCCATTCTACTGCTTGCTTCTTCACTTTGCTGATCATGTGCTTTGCTGTCAGAAGCTGCTTAGCTTGATGTAGTCACATTTGTTTATTTTGTCTTCGGCTACCTGTGCTTTGGCATCTTCTCCAAGAAGTCTTTCCCCATTCCTATTTCTTGGAGTGTGCTCCCTATGTTTTCCCCTAATTGTTTGATGGTTTCTGGGTGCAGATTTAGGTCCTTGATCCATTTAGAGCTGATTATTGTGTAAGGTGACAAGTGGGGGTTGTGTAAGGCTGCAATGAAGTTGTTCCAACAGCATTTGTTGAAGAGACCAGGCTTTTTCCCTGGATTATTTTCAGTGTTCTTGGCAAAGATGAGTTGGCTGTACATGTGTGGACTCCATTCTGGTGTTCCTGTTCTTCCCCATTCATCTTGTTTGTTCTGTACCAGTACCAGACTGTGTCGATGACCACTGTCCTGTAGTAGGTCTTGAGGTCTGGAATTATGATTCCCTCCAACTTGATTTTTATTCTTCAGGATAGTGTTGGCTTCCAGATGAACTTTGTATCATCTTTTCTATTTCTGAGAAGAATGTTGAGAGTTTGATTGGGGTGACATTGAATCTGTATATTATTTTTGGAATTATGAACATCTGCCAGTGTTCATCTGCCAGCTCAGTAACATGGTAGGTTTCTTCATTTTGAAATGTCTTCTTATATTTCTTCTATTCATGTTTTATAACTTTCATCCTAGAGGTCTTCCACCTCTTTGATTAGGCTTGTTCAAAAAGCATTTAAGATTCTTCTTTGCTGTTTTACAGGTGACTATATTTACAGTTTCTTTCTTAGCCATGGAGCTTTTATGTATACATGTGCCATTGACTTATGTTCATTAACTTTGTATCCTGCTATGCTGCCAAATTCTCTAATGAATTCCAGCAGTTTCTTGATTGAGTCTTTTGGTTCTCATGTCATCTGCACAGAGGGGTATTGTTATTCCTCATTTCCAATTTGAGTACCTTTAATTCCATTTTCTTGCCTAGTAGCTCTGGCAAGGACTTCTAATACTGTGTTGAATAGTAGCGGTAAAAGTGGACATCTTTGTTTAGTTCCAGATGTTAGAGGAAAAGCTTCCAGTCTTTCCCTGTTTGGTAGGATGCTTTCATTGAGTTTTTTTAATATATTACGTTGATTGTGTTATAGAATGTTCCTTCTATTCCTGTCTTGCTTAGGGTTTTCAGCATGAAGTAGTGTTGGATTTTGTCAGATGCCGTGTCTGCATCTATTGAGATCATATGGTTTTTATTTTTCAATTTGTTGATGTGCTGTATCAGATTTACTGATTGGCAAATGTTAAACCAGCCCTGCATGCCAGGTATAAATCCGACCTGGTGTGGGTGAATGATCTGTCTGATGTATTGTTGGAACTTGATGGCTAGTATTTTGTTGAGGATCTTTGTGTCTGTGTTCATCAGGGATACTGGTCTGGAGTTCTCTTTTTCTGTTTTATCTCTGTCTGGGTTTTGAATTAAGATGATATTGGCTTCATAGAAAGAGTTTGGAAGAATTGCCTCTCTTTCCGTTGTTTGGAATAGCTTGTGGAAGATTGGGGTAAGAAATATCTTCCAATTCTGAGATTCTTTCTTCTGCCCAACTCATTCTATTATTGAGGCGTTCCACTGAATTTTTAACTAGCTCCATTGTGTCCTTCATTTCTAATAATTCAGCTGACTTTGTTTCAGTGTTGTTATTTCCTGTGCAGCGTATTCCTTAAATTCCTTGAACTCTCTTAAGTGCTCCTCGTTGATAAGAAGCTGTATAACACATTTTTAAAATTCTTTATCCCCATTTGCTCAGTGTCTGCCTCCGTTAACTCTGAGGTTGACAAAGGCTTTTACTCCTTTGTGGGGGAGGTTTCAGTAATGTTAATTGTACCTTTTGCTCTTAGTCAGTCATTGCATTTCCGGTTAGGCAGTGCTGGTCTTGCCGGAATCTATTTTGGTTGACCGTAAGGTCTGAGGGTCACCCAGACATATTTTGTGCGGAACCTGTAGGATGCCAGATCAGTACTATATTTCCTGTGACGTCAGTTTAATGTGTTAAACCAGAAGTGAGTTCTTTCCTGGCTCGGCACATGCACAACTCTGTTCCTCCCACCCCACAGCCTTTTCCTCTGTACACAAAATGGTCCCACTGTGGCACTGCTGTGGATCTGGGCCTGCTGTCCTAATGGGTTTGGGGTCACCCAGACATATTTTGGGTGGAATCTGCAGGATGCCAAGTCAGTACTGTTTTTCCTGTGGGAGCATTGCAATATGCTGAACTAGAGGTAAGTTCGCTTCTGGTATAATGCATGCCCAGTATGGTACTGGTTGGGGGGTCTGGGCCGTGAAATCCACTTTGTTCATACCACCCACTTGGAGTCTGCTGCTATGTCTCTGTGGTCAGATGAAACAAATCAGCAAGATGGGCGGTTAGAACTCCCCTTCCCACTGACCACTGGTAGAGCTCCAGTGGCCAACCATCACTGAGGTAGCTGGTCACTGCAAGGCCGCTCCATTGTCCCTGCTGGTCTCCAAGTAACTCTCTGCCATTGGCCTGTTCTCTCCCGTTTCCTGGAATCTGTCCTCTGTGCTTCACCCTAGCCAAACTCTGTCGGTTTCAACCTGTCCTGACCCTATATCACCGTCTTCATGAACATCCAGATTGCGTTGTGTTTTCAACAGCCATGTTACACTGCAAGCTTTTGCTAAGCTTGAGATTCTTGTTTTATGTGAGCCACCATAAAGAATTTCCCCATCTTGTTGACCTTCTAAGACTGAATATTAAATATTGCAGTTGCTCTTTAACTTCTGCCTATGTAGGAGTTGTGTTATAAAGGAGGTAGTGTTTTGATATTTCCTCTGCAGTGGCCCCGCCCAGGAACACACAGCACAAGGCATCCTGCTTGTGCTTCCCAGGCTTAGTGAGTCAACTGAATTCTTTAATTTTTGACTGGATTGAACTTCATTACCTTTTTTTTTTTTTTTTTTTAGAGAATTTCAGCTCATCACTATTATCTCTGTTTTAAAGCTGCTTTGACCTGAATATTGTATAAAATGACTTTATGGCTCTTTTAAAATATTGCTGTAAGCTGGATACCCCTGCCTTGCTCAAACCCGGGAAGTAGGTTGATTTTTTTGGTTAAACACTGTGACTTTCTTTTCTCTATGTTGGTTCTGAAGAATGCCAGGGGACAGTTTAAATACCTTGGTTTTATTTCTTGGGTTAATGTGATAATGATACAAGGGAAGTCTTCTGGAAACTGCTGTAAGGCCCACTCGGGCTTGTGCTCTGGAACGTGGTTATTAACGCCCGCAGGGAGGCTGTGAGGTGTCTTCGGCCAGCATGAGTAAGGGGAGCTGTGTGCTGGACCCTCTCGGGGAAGAACCGCAGTGCTTCTCTGTGTGGGCTGGTAGAGCAGGGCTGGCCCCTGACCATGCAGATCACACTACCCGCTCCTGCACTGGCCTGCCCGCAGCCCCCAGGGAGGGAACCTCAGCTTACTGCAGCTGCTCGTGGGTCGTGGCACTTCTGTGATTCCTTAAATACATTTATTTAAAAATATGTGGTAGATTTCACGAGGAGTTCAGTCACTGTTAGGTTTTTCCTCTAGAAGCTTGAGTGTAGATACATATTTTGTGTGATTGATGTATGTGTTTGAAATACAAGCTACAAGAAAATCAACTCGGCAGTGATCAGTGAGCAAGCTGAGGTGGTGGTTGCCTTTTGAAAGCAGCCCTTGATTGCCTGTTAGCAGTTCCTGTCTGTCTGAAACATATTCACTGTCCTCCAGCCCAGTGCCCCGCGTGGCCATTTGAATACGGAAACATGAGCTGTGGTGGACCAGGCTGTAATTCCTCTTACAGATTTTTTCTCTTTAATTGAAGGTTTCTTAGTGCTATGTGGCAATCTGTTGCTTAACTTTATCTTATCTTCAGCAATGTCGTACGAATTTATGAAGCAGGGTTTCTAGTATAAAACTTGTTTTGGAAGTTTGACTAGACAAGTAGCACCAGTTGGAAATGTTGAACACTGTATTACTGAGAGTGGCAACCTGGATTGCACCGCACTCTGTCTAATGGCAGGCCCTGAACAGGGTCCCAACAGACGTTTCCTGCTTACCCAGTCTGCCACTCCTGTGCTCCTTAGCCTGCTACCTACAGCAGGTTCTTATTCTCACTCTTTACCTTCCCAGGCTGGGAACTTCTGCTGCAGTTCTGCCTCCTGCGGTGCTCGGGTTGTTTGATGTTTGTTTGTTTGTTTGTTTGTTTTTTACTCCCTTCATTGAACCAGCCTCTGTGCCTCTTGGCTGAGTCAGTTCCCTGCCATTGTGTTCTTGCTCTCAGGGTTCTCCTCCTCTTCCAGATTCTCATGACTGCCAGTGTTCATTTGTGGTATCACTCACCTGCGACTTGATACCGACTTAATATGCTACACATTGACTTGGAGTGGAGGGTGAAGGTAACTGCCTAGGTTGCCCTGTACTTAGGCAAGTGGCACACTGCTGTGAGAATGTCAGCCAATAGCTGGTGGGCATTCTGGGCCTGGTTAATGCCATTACACCGGTTAATGATATTATACCAGTGTGCTAGCATACTAGCATAGTTACCTCTTCTATTTTTTTAATATCATAATTTTAAGGTATATGGGGAGCTCTGCATGCCACCATGCAGCACAATGCAACAGAATGTGGGGGATACTAAATCTAGACACGCCACCCCAGCCCCCAGGCACAAAGTGCCCTGCTGCACAGCGTGGTGGGGAGACTGTAGCTTGCTTGGGAAAGGGGACATGGGGACGTGTTGGAGTGGGGGTCACCTAGGGCATGTGTGACAAAGTGAGAAATGAGGGAGTTTACAGACCAGACTACTGCTCTTGCAGGTAGGCTAAGATAGCTGGAGGGCTGCTTTTAGACTTAGCTGCTCCCATGGGAGACCCAAACGGAGTTCTAGGCTCCCGTCTCTCCCTTGCCAAGCCCTGGCCGTTACAGGCATTTGGGGAGTGAATCAGCGGATGAAAGATCTTTTGCATGCGCTCTCTCTCACATCAATAAAATATATCCTTTATAAAAGTATAGGTAGAATAAATTTTTTTTAAAAAGTATAGGTAGAGCCAAAACCTGCAAAGTCATTAAACTTAAACGTTTAATATTCTTGAACCTGTGACATAGGGAAGGCAGGATAAAACAGGAGACAAATAGCCTTATCCAGTTCTTTATTGAGCCCAGAAAATTTAGTAAGGGGCTGTCCCTGTGTGTTACAGAGTTACAGGTTTATTGTAAACTGTCATAAGGAAAGTGATTTCACTTCATGAGGTTCACTTTTGTGGACTTCTTCAGCAGACAGGAACCTCCCCAACGTCCCATCTGTGCCGCCTGTACTGCACCCCGTGCCATGTCCCTAATCATACACACCACACAGCCCACCCCGCAGACCCAAAGAAAGGTCCAGATGGAACAAGGACCTCGCTTTGCACAATCAGAGCTGAAGTCCAACCAAATTCCCCTTAGTTACAGGATCCTGGGTAAATCCCTCTCAGGGACTCAGGAGGTCGGAGTTAGTGTGGTAGCACTGGGGCGGGGGGAGCCCGGAGTGATAGGAAGCGTGTATTCATCCATGAAGAATTTCATCATTGAGAGACGAAGAGCGTTGGAATATTGGTCACACAGTGATGTGCATATATTCAGCACAGTTCAACCGTATACTTAGAAATAGTTAAGATTGGGCCTGGCGGCGTGGCCTAGTGGTTAAAGTCCTTGCCTTGAACGCCCTGGGATCCCATATGGGCGCCGGTTCTATCCCGGCAGCCCCGCTTCCCATCCAGCTCCCTGCTTGTGGCCTGGGAAAGCAGTCAGGGACGGCCCAAAGCTTTGGGACCCTGCACTCGCGTGGGAGACCTGGAAAAGGTTCCTGGTTCCCAGCTTCGGATCAGCACAGCACTGGCCATTGTGGTCACTTGGGGAGTGAATCATAAGGCAGAAGATCTTCCTCTCTGTCTCTCCTCCTCTCTGTATATCTGACTTTGTAGTAAAAACAATAAATAAATCTTTAAAAAAAAAGAAATAGTTAAGATTGGGTGTTGTGGCAGTGTGTGTTCATTCATCACTGGGAATCCTGCTTCCCATGTTGGAGCGCTGGAGGAGTCCTGCGTGTCCTGCGTCTGATCCAACTTTCTGTTTATTCTGGAAAGACAGGGATGGTGACCTAAGTGCTTGGGTGTCAGCCACATACCTGGGAGCCACTGGTGAAGTTCCAGGTCCTTTCCGCCTTCCCGCCCAGCCAGCTGCAGCTGCTGTGGGCATGTAGAGAAAAGCAGCTGGTTAGCAGGTAGAAAGGGTGTGTGTGCCTGGAGATTCCAGGGGACGGTCGCTGTCTAACACCTCCTCCTCTAGAGTGTGTCTGCCAGGGCAGGTGCTCCCAGGTGAAGTAAAAATACTGCTTCTTCCCTCCTGCTTGTAGGTGTAACATGTCCTGATGTAACGTGTGTGGATCGGTATAGATGCATTACTATAATGTTGAATATCATGTATTGTTTATGTAATCAGAAAGCGGTAATACTAAACATGAGCTAGTAATATGGGTTGTACTTCAAGACATGGTAATAACTGTAGCATTAGAGCCTCCTTTGACATATGAATGTATTCTCCAGATGCAGGCTTTCAGGATAGGATATTGATTGCTTTCTTGTCTTTGTCTTTTCCAGCACTTTCAGTCTCACGTGGCCATGAAAACGCCTGCCCAAGGAGCTGAGGATGAGCAGAGAGTGAGTCTGGCTCTAAGTCAGTTCCATTGTCAAGGCTTTACGGGTTCAGAGTAGCTTCCCATACAACTGGCAGGCTTTCGTGACAACAGCCTCCTGCTGGTTCTTACCTTGAATGTGAATTAGCTTTGGTTAATTAAAGTGAAAACCAGTCATGGAAAGGATGGTTATTTCATGTCTAGGATGTTGCCGTCCTAATTTGACATAAACTTTCTATTTCCCTTTTGACATTTATGTTGCTTGCCGCATACAGCAAATAAAGGTCCCCGGTGCCTCAGTGGCGTTCCCTGGAAAGGCTAGCGCTGCTTGCATTGGACACTGCAGAACGCGGTGGTGCGAGCCAGACGCCTTCCTGCGTGACATTGGCCCTGAGGCCACCCGGGCCCTGGGAACTTGCCTTTCTGAGTATCCTGGATACCAGGGGTGGTTTTTACTAATTCCCATTTAAAGACTATGCTTAAAAGGGGTAGTAAATTAGATTTGGTGAAAGGTGTGTCAATTTTAATAAAAAAGAGATGTGCAAACGCAAACAGTTCAGTACAATGATTTCCTTCCGTTCTGTGATGCTGCAGTTGGTCTCCTCCTGCCTCTCCCTCCTCTTTCCTTGTGTGCTCGTGGTCCTGCTTTGACCCACGGAATACCTCATTGCTTTCTTTCCACTGATAATAGATAATTTAATCACTCCACAGACTTGTTTAATTTCCATGACAGGGCTCTGCGGAGTCAGCGTCATTAGTAACCCTTAGCCACCAGTCCACAGAGAGGGCATTACTTGGTGTCCTTTTCCCCGGCCCCTCTTCTGCATTAAATCTTGGGGACTATACCCTCATTAAAAAAAATTATTTATTTTTATTGGAAAGTCAGATTTACAGAGTAAAGAAAAGACAGAAAGATTTTCCATCCGTTGGTTCACTCCCCAAGTAGCCGCAACAGCCAGAGCTGAGCCTATCCAAAGCCAGGAACCAGAAGCTTCTTCTGGGTCTCCCACGTGGGTGCAGGGTCCCAAGGCTTTGGGCCGTCCTCTGCTGGTTTCCCAGGCCACAAGCAGGGAGCTGGAAGGGAAGCAGAACAGCCGGGACACGAATTGGCACCCATAAGGGATCCCAGGCGTGCACGGTGAGGACTTTAGGCACTAGGCTACTGATCTGGGCCCTATGCCCTCATTTTTTAATGTTTCTTCTATTTCTTTTCATTGATTTTTTTTTTAAGTTTTAGAACCAGAAGGACGGTCCAGAGTGATAGCCTAATGGCTAAACATAAATATAAAAAAAATATATTATAAATACAGCAGCTCTAAGGAATCATAGAGATCATATAGTCCAACTATCAGAAAAATTCCAACAGATTTCCTTTCACTTATTATTTAATTCCTTTAAAAGGCAGAAAGAGATCTTCCAAGTGCTGGTTTATTCTTCAAATAAAACACTAGCCCACAGGAGCCAGCTGTTCCGGGCTATGCTAGTGTCCTAGAACTTGCTCTGGATTTCCCGTGTGGGAGGTAGGGACCAGGGATTCCAGTACTGACCGGAGCCCAGACGTGCACGCAGGCCCTCGGAAATGGGCCCCTATCCACGCTGTCCACTGCCTGTCCAACACGTGACCTTTCATTCTGGAGCACCACGAGGGCAGGGGGCGTGGTGCTTGTCACGCTCCTTTTAAAAGAAAGTGTAAAGATAGCGTGCTTACATGACTAATATGGGCTTGGCAGCACTAGAATAGAATCTGTATTCTACTGGCTTCCTGTTGACTGTCTGTCACAAATTTAGCTATTTAAAAGAGTCCATTTTTGGCTTTGAAGATTTCTTTATTTGAAAGGCAGAGTTAAAGATCTTCCATCTGCTGGTCTACTCCCTTGATGGCTGCAGTGGCAGGATCTGGGCTGATCAAGAACTTTTGTCAGATTTTCCATCCGGGTACAGGGGCCTGAACCATGGGCACTCCTTTCTCCGGCTGTGAGCAGGAAGCTGGAATGGAAGTGGAGCAGCCATGGCATGACCCTGCACCTCTGTGGGACGCCAGCAGCACAGGCCCGGAGAGCTTTACCCACTGCACCACAGCAGCCGGCCCCCGCGCCCGTTCCCCAGGTTCAGTAGGTTGGAGAGCCAGGAGCTCCCCTGGCCTCTGCTGTGCTCTGTTGTCTGGAGGTCTCCCTTCCTACTGTGCCAGGTTGTTCGCAGAATTCAGTTCCTGGCTAGCTGGGGGTTGCTGTCAGCGCTGAAGGTTATTCTCGTTCTCATTAGGTGAATCCTACCCAGAAAAGTCTCTCTTTTAGATAGAAGAATTCGAGCCTTAATCATGCCTGCAGATCTCTTCTCAGGAGCAGCTAGGTTAATGTCTGGCTGAAGGACCAGGTCTGTGAACACCCAGGGCTGACAGTCTCGGATGGGCCGTCTCAGATTCTAGCTTCCTTCCACACCAGAAAGTGCCTTCCTCAGCCCGTCTTCGAGGTCTGCTTCCCAGCAGGCACTCGTAGTAGATTGTCACTTTGCCTCGAGACGTTTTGTCTACCTCATATGTAAGAATACATTCAGATATAGGTGTTTATTTCTTCTGAAAATAAATCGCTGTTTGGATACTTACTGCTTGAAATTTACCTATATTATGGCAGTGTGTCAACAGCTTCCTATTCCCTTGGCTGTAGCACAGTTTGTTTAGCCTTGCACTGTTTATTGGCCGCCAGGAGTAAAGCCTGTGTGAACATCTGTGTGTAAATCCTCGTGTGTGTTTACCTTTGGCACCTCCAAGGGGGCGGGGGCTTGGTTGTTTATAACAATGTGTTGAACTTCATGAGATAATTACCCAACTAGTTCCAAAGTACTGTTCTGTTTTGCATTCACACAAATTTATAATCATTACAGTTATTCTTCATGATCACATATGCTTGACATTGTCAGCATTTTTCAGTTTAGCCATGTTAGTGGCAGGTATTCAGCGGTCTCTTCTCGAGCTTTTTATGTCCGGTTCCTGCAGCTAACATTCTGTACGCTCCTGGGACCTTGAGGGACCCGAGGGACCCTGGTCACAGAGGGCCGCGGCAGAAGAGTGACTTGACATGTCGAAAGGCTCTTAGGAATTAACCAAGTTCTCTTCCACTGTTTGGCAAACCATCAGTTACTATTCAACTGATTTTTTTTTTTTTCTCTTGGATGCTTCATTTTACCATCCTAAAAACTCCTTTTGCTGACAACTTTGTTCTCAGCTTCTGTAATTCCTTGTCTTGTCCACCGTTTATCTCCTTTTTCCTATAGATTCCTCAGCATATGTAACGTAGTTGTGTAAAATCCGCACGTACCACTCAGCATGTGGTTCCTGGGAGTCTGTGTTTTTTGCCTTGGCCATAATTAATGTATTATTTCCTAATGCATTAATTTTTATTGCATTGTAGATGTAGAGCTGCTGCATTCGGTTTTCTTCTTGTGAGGGACCTTGGTTATGAACTTTGTCAGGGCAAGTCTGTTTCCGTGTTAGGGAACCTTTGTCATTCTGGGCTGTGGCCCTTACTCCTAAAATTGGTTCCATCAAGGACTAAAGCATGAGTTTGTCCCTCCCACCCGCCTTTTTCAAATTTACAAACTTTAAATCCAAGCTCTACTTGTCTTCCTAAAATGACGTTCTTGAATTATCTAATTGGTTCCTCTCAATTCCCATTTCGCCCACCCCATCTTTGCTTTCCACTGTACCTGCCCGGTTCAGTGGTTAGCTGTGGATTTGAGAGTATTGTGTTTGCAGATTTTTTTTCTTTTTTTAAATAAATTTTACTTTTTTATAATGATTACATGGTGGATTAGGATAGAAAGGATTGAGGTTTAGGGAAAATTGGGTGTACTCAACGCTTCCAAAGTTTCTATTCTTGTTCCTGAGGGAAGGTGAGAGACAAAGGGCAAAACCACTTACAACTTTCCACACGTCCCAGTACCCAGAGATGATGAACCACCACCTCGTATCAACCCAGAGTCTCAGTGTGTGCATGTTCCGAGGGTTCTGTCCCAGTGGCTTGGATAATTCTGAAATGCTGCCGATTTCACCAACCCAAAGTTGATGTCACTCTTCCAATGTCCTTTGGTTCCATTCACTGAGATTTTTGTTGTCATTGCTTGTTTTGGGGTAGTTGTGCAGTTAGTTCTGTTTTTTTTTTTTTTTTGCTACATAACCAAATGAGCTGCTATATGCTTTTACCACAGGGCCTGTATCCACTGTTCCACCTTTTTCATTAAGTAGGACATGTTCTGGCAGGCGAATCCGAGGACCCAGGCCGGGAGTCCCATGCATCGCTGGATCCCCAACCCCTGGCACGCATGAACCCGGCACCCACCTAGTAGGTGGACCCTGAGATCTGGGACAGGAGACCCAAGCCCTGCAGGATCCCCCATGCCTGGGGCTTTTTAAAACACTTCTATTTTATTTTATTTTATTTTATTATTTTATTTTATTTTATTTTAAAGTCAGATATAAAGAAAGGAGGAAAGGCAGAGAGGAAGATTTTCCATCTATTGATTCACTCCCCAAGTGACCAAGCCAGAAGCCAGGAGCTTCTTCCGGGTCTCCCACGTGGGTACAGGGTCCCAAGGCTTTGGGCCGTCCTTGACTGCTTTCCCAGGCCACAAGCAGGGAGCTGGATGGGAAGTGGGGCTGCCGGTTTAGAATTGGCGGCCACGTGGGATCCCTGGACTGGAGCTGCTAGGCTACCTCGCTGGGTCCGTTTGCAGATTGTGAGCTTATTTCTCTTTCTGAGATTTCCTCCCTTAATTCTCAGCCATCTGCCTGGCCAGACTCCAGTTGGTTCCTTACCACCTGGTAACACCATTCCTCCTTCTGACTGTTCTGTCTCTCCCTACCTGGGGAGGTCTCTGTGGACAGCTGGGTAAATGCGCATCTACCCTAGTGGATTCCTTTCCCTGGAGAGTTTCATTCCTTCCAGTGTATGTCTCCTGTGCTGTCGTCCCAGTGACCTAGAGTTGTTAGCAGTGAGGAGGTAAGCTTAACGTGTGTTCCTCTGCCATTACGGGGAAAGAGAACTGTGTGTAGTTATGTATTTTTTATTTGCACTTTAATTAAGAAGTTTGAGAGTTATTAAATACGTAAGCATTTAATGACTTTAAGTGTTGCATTTTGTGAGTGACTGTTCCATAGTTTACATGAATATTTTCTTGCTTTTTGATATCAAATATTTACTGTTATAAATAGTGATGAACATTCATTGTATGAAAAATATAATTTAAAAAAAAGTAATACAAATTTGGAGTCGGGCACATTTCTCATAAACAATGATTTGGGTGTAATGTCAAAATTTTTAACTTCTTTGCTGACCTTCATTTATACTCTGAACTGTGTTTTGTAACCTGTTTCAGTGGAACTATTTGTATTATTTTTTGTTTTCCTTTAGAAAAGAGACAATGTGCGTTCCTTGACTATGTCTGGCCATGTTGGCTTTGAGAGTTTGCCTGATCAGCTGGTCAACAGATCCATTCATCAAGGCTTCTGTTTTAATATTCTGTGTGTGGGTAAGGGCCGATCTTGCTCAGAATTAATCCCCTTGTGCTTTCCACTGCTTTCTGGCCGTACGTGCAGCGGTAACATGTTGTCAGCCTGAGATCGGGATCTCCGAGTTTTCCTCTTCTTCAGTTCCTGTTTTGTTTTTCTCAGCTTTAAGCCTTTAACCACTTCACTGCTCTCTCCGGGGTTCTGGGCAGCTTAGCAGGCACACTCGGGCCTGCCCTCTGCTGAGCAGCCTCAGCGTGAATGTCCGATGGCCGGCCTGGCCTGTGTGGTGTCGTGCTCGGGGACAGCACCCTGGGGCCGACACGTGTGTCCGTGACAAGATACTTCTGCTTTCAGGGGAGACTGGAATCGGAAAGTCCACGCTCATCGACACGCTGTTCAATACTAATTTTGAAGACTGCGAATCCTCACATTTTTACCCACATGTTAAACTTAAGGCTCAGACATATGAACTCCAGGAAAGTAATGTTCGATTGAAATTGACCATTGTGAATACAGTCGGATTTGGTGACCAAATAAATAAAGAAGAAAGGTATGTGTTTTTTTTTTTTTTCTGATAACAAAATTTTATTATCTCAAGAGATTTGCCTACTTGTCCCATGAGCTATGACTTGATTTTGTAATATGGTAATCCGCATTTTCTCGGTCACCATCAGTTGTTTGGTAATGAAACAGCATGTGTTGGGATACAGCAGTTGAAGCTGCGGTCTGTGCAGAGCACACAGGCCAGTTCACAGCTGCTTCACTTCCGATTCAGCTGCCTTCTCACAGACCTGGAAAAGGAGTGGGAGGTGTGCCAGGTGCTTGGGAGCCTGCATCTGCGTGGGAGATCAGATGGAACCTAGTGGAAGGTGTGCCAGGTGCTTGGGTGATGGAACCGAGACTCTTAGTTTTGACCTGGCCCAGCCCCAGCTTTTGTAGCCATTGCATGAGTAAACCAGCAGATGGAAGATCGCTCTTTCTCTCTGTCCATCTCTCTATCTCTGGATTTCAAATAAAGAAATCTTTACCAAAAAATAACTAATCAGCATTTTGTTTTTATTAGCATTTTTTTCTGTCACCTGTCTGATTTCTTCATAATAATTTGAAATGCGTTATTTCAGCAAAAACACCGGTTATTTCCTGGTATGCAAATTCAGTGTGTATTAACTGATTGGCACTAATTTCCAGGCAAAACTTACTGAAGGAAACAAATCTAAAACAGACACATGCATACACATACACATATAAAATCACCATGGAGTTGTATTTTTTTGGTAATTTCTAACTAAAAAGCTAGTTACATCATTCAGCCTTATCGGGAAGATTTGGGAGGCTTATTTCTCTCTTTTTTTGTGAGAGAACTTTATTTTTTAAAATTTATTGGAAAGGCAAATAGACGAATAGAGTTCCTGTCTGCTGATTGACTCACAACAATGCTGGCAGTGGTCACGGGGCAACAGGAATCTGGGATCAGAAACTCCAGGTCTCCCACGTGGATGGCAGGAACTCAGATACCAGAACAAGCACCTGGTACGTCCCAGGATTGGCAGCTGGGAATTGAACCCAGGCACTCCTGGAATATGGAAGCAAGCAATCTGTTAAGCTACCCTCTAGGATAGTTTTCATAGTGAAATTCTAGCTTATATTTTTACGGGCTCAGCATGATGGCTCAATGGCTTAATCTTTACTTTGCATGCTCCAGGATCCCATCTGCGTGCCAGTTTGTGTCCCGGCAGCTCCATTTCCCATCCAGCTCCCTGCTTGTGGCCTGAGAGAGCAGCAGGAGATGGGCCAAAGCGTTAGGACCCTGCAGCTTGAGGGAGACCTGGAAGAAGCTCTGGCTCCTGGCTTTGAATCAGCTCAGCTCCAGCCATTGCAGCCATATGGGGAGTGAACCAGCAGATGGAAGATCTTTCTATCTCTCCATAAATCTGATCTGCCTTTAAAGTCTTATATTTTGCCTTATGTTATTATTGGCCAGCATTTCTCATATGGATTGCACAGGCTGATGATAGATACTCTATGACGTTTAAGCTTTGAAAGGGGGAAGTATGTCGGCTAAAACAGTGACGTAAAGTAGGGAATCCTCACCGGTGAGGAAGGTTCTTGCTAGGAAATGACTACACATGAACTTCAAAATGTGTTTGTACTAAAATTAACATTGTTTAATTCCATTTTCCTTTTTTTAAGCTCCTGTTTCATTTCCTGGAGGGGACATGTTTACCTGCAGATTGACCATTCCCATGACATACAGTAGAGAACAGCTGTGTCAGCGTTACATTCTGCCTTGAGGAGCTGTTTGTGTGGGGCTGCTAGAAGCAGAATGGTCTTGCTTTGAGTATTAGTGCTCCCTGTAAGGTGGATATTCACTTGGAGTGAATCAGACATAATTAGCATTTGTTTAGATGAAGGGGTTTTTGTTGTTGCTGTTTTTTACTTAAATTTTTTTTTTTTTGGTATTGTTTGAGAAGAAAAGCTGAGAGTGCCCCCGCTCATGTGCTGGTTTATCCCCGTGTTGCTGCAGCAGCTACAGCTGGGTTGAGTTGGACGTAGCGTCCGTGTTTGACCAATCGCTGCACTGCTAGGCTGAGCCTTGGCAGGACGGCGGGTCAGGAACCGGAGCCGATGTCAAAGCCAGGCGCTCTGATGGGGGCTGCTGGCGTCTTAACTGCTCCTACACGTGTTGTGCACCTGCTAAATACGTTCCGCTGCGTTAGAAAATGAAAAATGGGTATAGATTTCTGTGTAAATTTCTCCCTAATTACAACTCACTTATCCCCATTTACCTGTTTACTAGATTGTCGTCTCTCATTTATCAAGGTAATTCATGTGTGTCTGAAAATATCTATCAGTACCCATCAATGGGAATTTCCTTCAGCCATCAGGCCTGGTCTCATTTCTCTCCTGAGAGGAGCCACGGCTGTGAATTAAGCGTCTTCCCAAGTCCTTTGGAGTTATTTTCTCTTTTTAAATAGGTCTTATTGACATTTAATCTGTAGTTCCCATGGATCTGGTTTAGTAACTGGATGTGGTTGTGGCTCCTTGGCTGTGCTGTGGGTACCCTCAGTGCTTCAGCAGTGCCTGGAGAGATCCCCCCTGGAGAGACCCCCCCTGGAGAGACCCCCCCTGGAGAGACCCCCCTGGAGAGACCCCCCCTGGAGAGACCCCCCTGGAGAGACCCCCCCCCTGGAGAGACCCCCCCTGGAGAGACCCCCCCTGGAGAGACCCCCCCTGGAGAGACCCCCCCTGCGGATCTGCAAAGCTTCTCTCTGTTCTTCTTACTGTTCTGTCCCTCAGGTTCCGGTTCCTGTAGTTTCCTCAACTCTTTTTTTTTTTTTTTTAAGATTTTATTTTTTATTTTTAAAATAAAAAATAATAGGCTTCCACCTTTAGCCTTGGATGGATATCTTATTAAGGTAGCATAGATACGTTATACTGAATATCTACATATTTTTTCAGCTACCAACCAATAGTTGACTACATCGATGCACAGTTTGAAGCCTATCTCCAGGAAGAGTTGAAAATTAAGCGTTCTCTCTTCAACTACCACGACTCACGCATCCACGTATGCCTCTATTTCATCTCTCCCACGGGGCACTCACTCAAGACACTTGACCTCTTAACCATGAAGAACCTAGACAGCAAGGTACGCTTAGGAAAATACTCAGTGTTGCATGCTTCATTATTTATCTTGCATTCTTAAAATATCCTTATAATATGTGTCTGTGTTATAACTTTTACTGATGTTTCTTTACATGTTAAAGTAAAAAAGAAAAAAAATGGACTGTTACAAGAACACCTGTTTTTTAAATTAGCCAAGAGCCATGTATAATTCATAAAACTGTAAGAAAAAGTATTATATTGCTCCAGATTTTGGTATTTGTGTAAAAGATGAATAAACACTACTTACTGAGGTTGCAGTCTTAGCTTAGCTGTTTAAGCCATCACCTGCAATGCCCACTGCCCATATGGGCAATGGCTCAAGTCCTTGCTGCTCCACTTCTGATCCACCATCCTGCCAGTACACCTGGGAGAGCGGCAGACAATGGCCCACGTGCTGGGGCCCAGGCCCCACTTGGAAGGCACATAAAGCTACCGATGCCTTGCTTCCGCCTGGCTCAACCCTGGCCTTCGCAGCCATTTGGGAAGTAGACCAATGAATAGATCTCTCTCTCTCACTCTGCCTTTCAAATAAATAGATCCTAAAACAACAAGTAAGAATACTTACCGTCTAATACAAACAAAACGAAACAAACAAAAGACCACAGACTTTCTCTGCACCCTAGAGTTATGTGAGAATTGCAGCTTTCCTAATAGTGACTGCTATTTTCCACCGTAGGGTTCGGAAGGCAAGGGTGTCCTGGATGCCACGCTTTCTGGAGAAGTCAGGAAGGCCCCGAGGTCTGGGGGAGAGCCCCTCACACAGTCAGTCTATTGCTGAGTAGTTGGATGGCGGTAAGCCACCTTGCCCAAGGATATACAGCACAGGGGAGTGCAGCCGAGGCTTGTTCACCCTGGGGTCTGCAGCACATCTTTCCCACAGATAACCGGACACTGAATGCCTTGGGCTTGTCAGACCCTACTTTCTGGTAACCACTATCTCTGTTACAGTGTGAAAGCAACCAGAGGCAGTACTTCAGTGTAGACAGGGGGATGTCCCGGTATCATTTTATGAAACTGTGCAGTGTACACAGTTTGCCAACCTCTTCATCTAGGTTAAGAAAATTTACTGTCAGAGCCTGAACGGCGTTTGTTTTGTTTTGTTTCGTTTTGTTGAGGGGATGATTGCAGGGTTAAAAAAAACAAGCCCGCTATTATGTTATTTTGTTTTTCTCTTTATGCTTAATAGGTGAACATTATACCAGTGATTGCCAAAGCAGATGCAATTTCTAAGACAGAATTACAGAAGTTTAAGATCAAGCTCATGAGTGAATTGGTCAGCAATGGCGTCCAGATCTACCAGTTTCCAACAGATGATGATACCATTGCCAAAGTCAATGCTGCAATGAATGTAAGCTCATAACTGCATGTTGGTTCTTCTGACTTACACGTGAAAATAAAGTTAGTGTATGTGTAAAGTGGCTACTAAAAGTCCAGAATTAAAAATGTTTGTGTGTGTGTTGGAAAACGTAAAATGATCCCAGCTGCTCGCTGTGGAGACCTGGTCCTTCCTGCTCGCTGTGGACACCTGGTCCTTCCTGCTTGCGATGAAGACCTGGTCCCTCCTGCTCGCTGTGGACACCTGGTCCTTCCTGCTCATGATGAAGACCTGGTCCCTCCTGCTCACTGTGGAGACTTGGTCCCTGCTGCTCGCTGTGGACACCTGGTCCTTCCTGCTCATGATGAAGACCTGGTCCTTCCTGCTCGCTGTGGACACCTGGTCCTTCCTGCTCATGATGAAGACCTGGTCCCTCCTGCTCGCTGTGGACACCTGGTCCTTCTTGCTCGCGATGAAGACCTGGTCCCTGCTGCTCGCTGTGGAGACCTGGGTTTCCCAGGCTCCTGAGCACGGCCTGGTGCAGCTTGGCTCCTCTTCATGAAATCAGCCGACAGGACAGCAGGCTCTGTTTGTGTCTGTCTCTCAAATGTCTGTTGAATATTTTTTAAAGTTACTTAGGTGACTTTTAAAAATATTTTTTTTTTACAAAATTAAACGTTGCTTAACTTTTATGTTAATGTCATTAAAGATAACCCAGTTCCTTAGTTTACTTTCTTAAGCTGGCAGTTTTTTTAAATATCTGGTTATATTTCAAAGATTCCTGAGTTTTTCAAGCCAAGCTGACTTGTATGTTCTGTTGAAATTACTAACCTTCCTGAAACTGTTAACTTCAAAATGAGTTCATTACACCTACTTAAGAGTTACTATGAGATGGAAGTCACTTAGCAAGGTGCCTTACAATGATGCTCTGATTCTGTCCTTTTCTGTTGCCTATTTTTCACGTTTATATTAATATACCTAAACTCAGTCTGTACAGGCCTGAGTCATGTAGTGGACACTGCTATTTCCTGTGAGCCCAAACTGTCTTCACATCAAATTTTATCTCTTGTGCTCACCTGAAATGATTTTTTCATAAAGACACAATTAATAAACTAATGTCAACGATTAAATTTTAGATAAGTAGTACTTGACTACTTTTTATATTATTTTCCTTTATATTAATCCTCACCTTTATACCGTCATATCTTCTCCCTGTCCCTGAACTTAGCATTTTGTTTAAAACCTCCTCCTCCTCCTGGACCAGTGATGTAGGCTTGAGTATATGAATTTTTTTTCTCCAGGCCCTTGTCTTTTCAAAAGACAGGCATTCTGAGAGCAGGCACAATGTGAAGTGCAAAAGTTATAACAAAGTCTATTAAAAAGGTGAGACGGTGAATGCATATACACGTGTGAGTGGAGACTGCCACTCATGGAGAGACACACGCTGTGAATGGGCACAGGATTGCCGAAAGGGAGCTAGTGTCAGGGAGAGGAGAGAGGGCACCCGAGGCATCTGTGCAGTCAGGAAGTGAGGATGGTTCCTCCATCGGCGCAAAGTCACCTAGGTCCCAGATGAAACAGGTGCATCCTGGGGAAGGGGGCACCTCTACGGACAGGAAGGAGGATAGAATTACGTGCAGGTACATGTGACTTCCCGCTCAGGAGACCCAAACTCCCAGCCTGTTCACTCCCCGTCTCTACTTGACCACACTTCATGCTGCCCTTCTGGTCTACCAGGGCTTGTATCTTCTTGCTGCCTATGATCTCTCTTCTTGTTGCCTATAGTATCACTTTGGGACTAGCACTACTATACTATAGTATAATGTTAGTACTAATACTATAATACTAACTAGTGCTATAGTAACAGTACTGCATGTCTGTCTACACACTCAATGTTGTTATATTTTGGTTATATATGCCAAAGTACTTCAGAAAGTGGGTGTAAGTGAAATTAAAGGATAAGTTTATTTTGGTACAAAAGCTCTGAAATCCATGCATACAAAGGCATTCAAAAACTTCATGAAAAAATGCCTATTATGATAAAACTGAGTGGATTTCAAATTTTCATTTTTCATTTTTTGTGATTCAATTCCATAGGATCTGGGATTTCCCTTACCCCTTCCTAAGTTCCCTCTTTACCCACTGATTTTCCCTATAATATTACAATATACCAAACTTAACTTACGTTTAAATTTTTAAAAATTTTTTTGAAAAAAGAAGTGTAGAGAGAGGCAGGTTGCTACAATGGCCAGAGTAGAACTAAGCACAACCAGAAGCCTGCAACTTCCTCCACGTCTCCTGTGGAGGTGGCAGAGACCCACGCAATTAAGCCATCTTCAGCTGCTTTTCCCAGACCTTTAGTGGTAGGGAGCTTGATGGGAAGTTGGGGCAGCCAGGACGCAAACTGCCACCCACACTGGATGCCTGTGTCACAGGAGGTAGCTTAGCTTAACGCACTGTGCCACAGTGCCAGGCCCTGTTTATTTGAAAGGCAGAGATAAACAAATAGACTGACTAAGCAGTGTCTGGAACTTTATGAAGGATTTCCAACTGTCTGTAACTTGCTTTGTGTAAAGATCCTGTTGAGGGAATTGACACGTACTGTCTCTGTTTTTCTTCTGTCTGCAGTAGGGTAGTACCTGGCACGTGAGGGACACTCACACAGGACCATAGAGCTTCACAGAGACTCCTGCAGGACCGTCAGCACAGATTCACTGCCAACTTTCAAATCTGGGACATAGCATATGATTTGATCTTAATCCATTTATTAGTTAATACACTACTGCTGATTGTCTTTTGAAATAGTCTTGTACCACATTGGTATGACATGTAACTAAAACTGTGGTTCTGTTTCAGGGACATTTGCCTTTTGCTGTTGTAGGAAGTATGGATGAAGTCAAAGTTGGCAATAAGATGGTCAAAGCTCGTCAGTACCCCTGGGGCATTGTGCAAGGTGAGAGACAGACGAGCGATGGCCAGAGGTCTGTGTGTGGTCTGAGAATCTAGAATTGCCCGTCATGCGTTCTTCCAAGTGATGCCTGGTTGGGCTTTACCTTGACTGTCAGAGGACTGATTGTGTCTTGCGTAACTCGGCCTGTAGAGGCCAGGAAGAGCCTCGCTGTTGCATGGTGCCACACTCGGTGGTGTCTGTTGATGTCAGAAGGTGCGAAGCACTGGCTGAACACTAAACTCAGCCACCTAGTACAGAGCAGAATAGAGCATTTTGTGAATTTATGTATTTTGTGGATTAAAGGCTCCAAACACCTGTGAGCCGATTTAAAAAGTTAAATCCACTTGGTATTTACTCACTATAATGAGTACTACCTGGTTCATTTAATTATTGTGATGCTAATTAATGGAGGAATAGAATACCTTCACTAGCACTGGCTTCTAAATGCTGATAACACCCCCTTTTTTATTGACACATAGTTTAAGAAAAATTGAAAAAAATATTTAAATGTGTAAAAAAATATAAAAGTGATCATTGTACTTGACCGTTGGTCATTTGTAGTCCCCTGGTCACTGTAGACGCAGAGGAAGTGGATCTACATGTAAGTGGATCTACTAATTTCACGTAGTATCTAACACAGGAGCATAAATGTTGTGTTGTATTAAAAAATATGTAAGCTGTATCATGCATTTGTAAAATATACTATTTTGCAAAAGGTAGCATTATATAGTCTTTTTATTAAACACTAGAAGACACGTCCTGAAGTGGTTTCTAAACTACTAACAAAAGGTAACTGGAACATATTATAACATAAAAGGATTCATTTCTTCACACTCTTTTGTTTATCTATTGGCTACTAAGTTGAAGGCAGATCTTCTCATATGTTAATTAATATTGCCTATTTTGAATACTTGCATAAAATAATGGTAGCAGCTAATTAGGCCAATCATTTCGTTCTTTTTTATGTCACATGTGTTTTCATTTAAAACCCAGTGTTGTTGTTGTGTCTTTTGGCTAGTGGAAAATGAGAACCACTGTGACTTCGTAAAGCTGCGAGAAATGCTCATTTGTACAAACATGGAGGACCTGCGGGAGCAGACACACACCCGGCACTATGAGCTGTACAGGCGCTGCAAGCTGGAGGAGCTGGGCTTTACCGACGTGGGCCCTGAGAACCAGCCCATCAGGTAAGGGGGCTTCCTCGGGAAGCCAGCCGGGCAGAGAACCAGAGAGCATCGCTTTCTGTAAGTTCACAACTGGAGACCAGCTCCGGTTGACTCGGAGCAAAGGATGCATGGATCGGCGAGACGATAAGAAGAGGAGGTAAGATGGAGAGGCAGAGGAGGCATGGACCATTACGGCATGATGCTCATGATGGACAACTCAGAAAAGTTGCCTTCTTTATTTATACACAGATCATCACAAGCTTTTGCACAACATCCAATTGTTCCATTTTTACTTCATTATAAAAGAATGATTACAAAATCAAAACTAAAAAACATTATTATTGTTTTACTTATGAGAAAATATTTTCAGCAAGCTGTTACTCATTCAAACCTGCAGAGACCTGGCCAAGGCTGGCAGCACATGCAGTTACATAGTCACAAGTGGTTTACTTATATCCCAAATCGATTTTCACTAAACAGAAACTAACTAATATTGCCTAAAATATCAAGAGTACAGAGTTAAAAGGTCCTAAATGAAAGGAATTTATAAAAGCATATAAAATCGATTCTTGATTAAATCTTATAATCAATCATGCATTAATTACCACCACCTTCACCCAGTGCCGATTCAATTGTTTTTTGTAATTTTGTTAAAAGGCAGTGAATGGGATCAGGGCAACTCAGCCAATCTGCAAACAGAGGGTCTTTACAAGAAACTTCCTTTATCTTTATAAACTGTTTTCTTTCCCTAAATATGAGTGCCAATATAAGGTAGAAATTTTAAGCCATTTTTGATGATGATTATTCATGGTCCGGTTCCTCCCACCACCCCTTGTGCCCACGCTCTGTTTTCCCTCATACTGTTACAATAGTATAGTCCTTCAGCAACAGTCACAGGCCCAACATTGTGGTCTTTAAGTGTACACAGTGGCACAAAGTCCCAGCATCCTGTTGTCGAGGTGTATTGGGCAGTTTCCTTGGGAGACCTCCTTTTATTCAGGAGTAGAGATGCTTCTGAAAGAAGCCTTCACTGCTTGGTATACTACTCTCCATTATAGGGTTCATCTATAAGAGTATATGTATACCATGTTTAACTGTAGATCTGCCGTATAGTTTGCATGAAGGTTATGTTTTATTAGAATATATTTGTCCTTTTGAGATTGGCTTATTTTACTGAGCATAATGATCTCTAGTTGGGAACATTTTATTGCAAATGGTAGAATTTCATTCTTTCTGATGGCTGAGTCGTATTCCCTGGAGAAGATGTACCACAGTTTCCTTGCCCATTCCTCTATCTACAGACATTTGTGTTGCTCCCACATCTTCACTGCTGTGGATTGCATGATTTCAGTTCCTTTGGGTGTATTCCCAGGAGCAGGATAGCTGGGACATATGGTAGCTGTCTTAGTCTCCACACTGACTCCCTCAGTGACTGCACTAACCTGCTCTGCCACCAGCAGTGGAGCAGGGTTTCTTTCTTCCCACATGATGCCAACAGGTGTTGTTCACTCCCCAGATGACTACAGTGGCCAGTGCTGGGCCAGGGTGGAGCCAGGGGCTTTATTCACATAGCTGATAGGAGCACAGGTTTGGGGGCTATTTTCCATTGCTTTTCCTGGCTATTAGTGGGGAGCTGCATTGGAAGTGGGCCATTTGGATGCAAGTAGGCACTTAAATGGGATACTGCCAGCCCATCAGTACATTTAAAGTGAGTTACTTTACATGTAAAGTGCATTATTTTGGGGTTATATGCTGGGGATTTAGTGTAATTTTGGTTCTCATGAAGCTCATATTCTTATCAGACAGACCAAATTGCAGAGTTAATCAGAGTCGTGATATGTGCACTAGAGAAGTAGATGGGAGTATATTCATTCATTCCAGAAAATTAGGTGAAGGAGGACTAGTTAGATCTCAGAGTGGACTGGCAGAGGAGACATAGCAGAGAGCGTAAGCTCACTTAAGGTCTGCTGACTTTGAGTTTCTTCTGAACCAAGTGACAATGCCAAACAGGCACTTAGGAGAAGGGCTGGTTTAAAGAAATCATAGGCATTGGCATGGTTAATTGGATAAGCAGGGACTAGACAGACAACACACATACACACACATACACACCTGGAAAGATGGCACAGTAGTAACGAGACAGTCTAATCTTTGTCACCTGGATGAGTAGCTAGCAGTCTTGAGAAGGGGCAGGTGGAAGAGAAGGAAAACCTTGGAAGCCAGGTGAAGAAATTAGCTTTCTGCTGTTCATGTACAAATGCTTTCTTCACAGTTCTCTGTAGTCATGAAGACTGGGGTGTGCTCAACAAAAAGAGCAGTGTTTGGAGGGCTGTGTTATCCAGGACCCAATACATTCAGGGAAGACTTAGAGCACAGTAGCCTTATTAGTGGGGTCAATGAACTGAAGCCATTTCTTTTGTTCTGTTCTCACAGCTCATAGCCCAGAAAAGGTGTGTGAACAGGCCCAACAAGGTCATGTTATCATCTCATTCAGAAGTGATGAAGTGTGCCTGGGCAGCATCCCAGAGGATGGGATAGGTCAGTCAAGAATCAGAGATTTCCCATCACGTGTGTTGGTTGAGCATTTCCTCTGGAACACGGGTGCTCGCTGATGGATGCAGAGCAGAAGCCAGCAGTGGGATCTTTCATTTAGGCCGCAGACTGGCAAGGAGCAGCGTCCAGAGGTTACCTGCAGGGGGCAGACAGGAGACGAGGCTACATTTCATCATGACAGGGCCCTCATGCCCACCAGACCTGCTCCTGGGGTGCTTTCTTGTTAGTGAATTAATGATTGGATAAGATATTACAGGTATGTTAGGCAGCTTTTAGTTTCTAGTTTCAAGAAATCTGAGGAATCTTTCCCATTTAATTTGTTAGTATAACTTGGCGTGCATATGGAATCTCAGATGAGATCTTTCTGGCCATTAAAGACTCTTACATGAACCTTCTTGGGGAGACTTCTCTCTACCCTAACCCCCACCGCCCTTTTCATTTCTGCTGTTTGCTGAGGGATTCTGCTGAGCCATCGTTGCTTTCCCATTCCTGTTTGCCGAGGGACTCTGCTGAGCCATGGTTGGGGTCTTCGCCATCAGCACTGCTCATTGGGTATGATAAGGACCAGGTAGATGGTCTGTTGCTTTTTAGGAATGTGACCTTGGGCACGTTAGTTTACCTGTATGAGCATCCGTTTTTTACCTGTAAAGTAGAATGTCAGTGTTTGTTCTTCAGGGTTGCTGTGGCAAGTAAGTGATGAATACATAGAGAACATCATTGTTGGTAGCCAGTTGTTAATAAAGAAGAGATGTCTTCTCTTTTTTTTTAAAAAAAGATTTTATTTTTATTATTATTTTTTCATTGGAAAGGCGGATATACTGAGAGGAGAGACAGAGAGGAAGATCTTCCGTCCCATGATTCACTCCCCAAGTGAGCGCAACGGGCCGATACTATGCCGATCCGAAACCAGGAGCCTCTTCCGGGTCTCCCACGCGGGCGCAGGTTCCCAAAGCTTTGGGCCGTCCTCGGCTGCTTTCCCAGGCCACAGGCAGGGAGCTGGAAGGGAAGCGGGGCTGCCAGGATTAGAACCGGCGCCCATATGGGATCCCGGGCGTGCAAGGTGAGGACCTTAACCACTGCGCCACCGCGCCGGGCCCGAGATGTCTTCTCTTTACCTAAAAGGATTATTTCCTCCCAGAGCAGCTCAAGTGCTTGTTTTAAATTAATGAAGCATTTCTTAACCTTGCACTTGGCATGAGTCTGAGATATTATTTAAATCTAATAGATCACCGAGGATCATCAGAGGCCAGCAGTGTGGCATAGCAGCTTAAGCTGCCGTACAACACTGGCATGCCATGTGACTGGCTCACTTCCAGCCCTGTTAACTCACCTGGGAAAGCAGCAGAAGATGGCCCAAGTGCGTGGGCCCCTGCCACCCACAGAGGAGAAGTGCATGGAGTTCCTAACTCCTGCCGTTGGCCTGGCCATGGAGGCCATTTGTGGAGTTAACCAGTAGATAATGATGTCATTCATTTTCTTTCGCCCCCTCCACTTCCTGCTCTGTAACTCTTTCAAATAAATGTTTAAAATCTTGAAAGGAAAACAAAGGAATCAGCCCAGTGTTAGACCTGTAGAATGTACTGAGGTTTGTAATAATGGTGAAAGCAGCTGACAGTCTTTAAGACTGAAGCAAACAGGAAAACAAGAAACTGACACAAAATAGAATGCCACATAAGGTTCAGAGCGTCTGCTGGTACCTGAGGGCACTTGGCACACTGATGCTCTTTGAGGAGAATGTTCTCACAGATGTTGGCTCTCTTCCTCCTTGGAAAGTATGTACAGCATCTCCCAGCTCTTAGCCGTAACAGCTGCACTTTAGCTGTCCCGTCCAGCAGGACAGTCAACGGGGGTCGCAACCACCTAGGAGAGATTGGGGGACAAGAGAACGAAGAATGGACAGGCAAGACAGGATGTAGATCAAGTGTCAGTTTATTGATTTTAATTGGGTTTTTATAACTCTTCAGAAACTAAGGCTAGGGAGGAAAGGAGAGGATGAAATAGGAGAAGCATGGTCTCCAGGAAGATGTTTTGAGCAGTCAATTAAAACACAATAGAAGCCAAACATATCACCAATATCATAGGTTTAATAGTAAAAGATGTGGCAGGTTACAGCCAAATAAATCATATTCTAAAACAGTTGCTACAAAAATTGAAGCTAAGCGTGTGATTAGGTTTCATAAACTTCTTTCTCAAGCATCTAGCCAGCAGGGATTTTCAACTGGCCATAGTTTAATTCAAAATGGTTCAGTGTGGCTATAGTACACGGCTCATGACATCTCCCCTCTTTTCTTATATATTCAATGAAAGCGGCAAAAAGAAAAAGGTTCTTGAGGAAGATAAGCATGCCTGTCTTAGGCTCATTTGAGAGACCCTCATCTCTTACCGTTCTGCGGAGCCCTGGTCATCCAGGGTCCCTGTCTTCTTAGGTTGGCGGGGGTAACGAAGATGCCCGTCATTGGCTAATGCTTACCAGGAAAAGCAATGCCTCATTATATTAGATGAGTCTTTGAGGACTGGAGCCGCAAGCACGATGTGGGGTGTTATCACTTGGGGAGCTGAGCCATTGCAAGCAACGTAAAGGTTTTTTTAAGGCCATAACCTCGGCAGCATTTATTGAACATGCACGCTGCAGCTTAATGCATTAGATAAATTTCCTGACATGGGTAGATGGGGTCTATTTACTTTAATTATTTACTGGGTGGCTAATAGTCTGGTGAGATTTAGGAGGCGTTAGACCATTGTCCACAGGGTATTGATGGGTTTTTATCCTCTGCAAAATATTGAGAACTTTTACTGGGGTGACCATATAGAAGGTATATTGGGGAGAGCTGGCTGGTGAGATTCAAGAAGACATACATAACACTTTAAAGTATGTTGAAAATACTAACATTCCAGAATCACATAGTGCTAAAGTTGTACATGTATAACAAAACAGTTATATCAGGAACAGAGACTTAACTTGCCTAGTTTTCATCATTGACTCCTACATTTTCAAACAGAACTGAACCCAATTTGTTTTTTAAGGGAGAAGGGGCGTTTGTCATCGGCTCCTTAGCTACTTCATGCTGAGAAGGGGGGCGTGTTGGGTTAGGCCCCCGGTAAAGAGCTGAAGGGGGTCATTTGTGGTTTCCTGATAGAAGGCAGAAGTCTCAGGTGTTTGAGTGTACATCTGGCATTGAAAAGTTTCTTGTGTTGTGAAGTCTAAAATAGCAAAACATAATTTAGTTATAAACTCTTCCAGCCTGCATGTTGTGAGTTAGTTAGCAGTTTGAATATTTTGAACATCAGAATTAGATGTAAGAGAAAGAGATTGTTTGGTTCAACTTTTGTCCAGAGTCAAATGGGTGAACATAATTTAAGATATGGACTAGAATTGTATCTGTTGAATTAATTCTTTAGTCTCAAATTTTTGGAACATACCAATAGTCAATGGAACACTGAAACTTTGAGTTGTATAAAACTGGTAACCTAGATCAATCAGATGGAACAATGCAAGGATTAGCTACGGCTTCAGGATTATTAAGCCCATCAGGAGGTAAATGCAAGTTGACTTCTTAGAGCAAAAGAGTTAAATATTCAACATAATCCAAACTGAGATGATAAATCTTTTATACTAAAATACAGAAGATGTTACTATGACTCTGAATATACTGCTCTGCATTGGCAGAAGTGTAACAGGGACTCTAGTGGTTTAACAAATTAGCATCTATGTGTGATGTCAGTGATCACTGAGGTTCCAGAACATATGTTGTTTAGGCTGTGGAAGCCTTTTGAGGTCAATAACAACCCATTAGACAAGATCACACAAAAGTGGAAGTTCTCCTCCATTGAGGGAAGAGCACAACGTCCTTGATGTGCTTCTTTGCACTGGGGTGTGGCATGGGTCCTTTAGGGAGGGGGTCACTCTTAGCAGTAGTGGTCCTGGATTCCACACTTGATATGCTTGTTCTTTTGTGGTCTCTGTCAGACCAGAATGCCTTTTGGGTGATCTGAGGCCATGGAGTGATATCAAATTGTCAGACTAATGAGTTGTATAGGAGCTGCTTCCATGTTTGGAGCATTTTAACATTCTCTGCGATCTGAGTTTATCAGTAACACTTACATACATTACCCATAGTTTTCCATAAAATTATGTGGATTGGATTTGGGTTTCCAATGGCCAGTCTTCAAACTGTACCTAGAGTGAATGCAATTTTGAAATCTTGTTATTAAATATTGAGCTGAAAGATCTGTAGTTCTGGAAAACAATAATGGACATGACTCTTAAGTGCCTATTTATGCATCTATACATTATTTTTTAAAAAAAAAGATTAGCTTAACAATTCTCATTCTTAAACATGAACATACATATCAGGTAAACAACTAAAAACAACAGTTTTAAGAGATCTTGAGAATTCTCTTAGGGTGTTAAAGTTACCAATTTTTTAGAATTATTATTATTATATTAATATTGCTCTTAGTTAGGTCTGAATAGTTTTACAATTTTAAAATTTAGCTTTAATGGATACAATAGGTCTATTGGAATCCTAGAAAACAAAGTTCTACGTTTGCGCTGTATATGACCTGTGGATTTTAACATCTGTACTTATAGAGTAACCCTTCCTGGGCAGGATTGTATCTAGTTGTGGCGTTAGGAATTTCTGGGACACGGCTGGAAAGTAGAGTTAACTTCTTGTGATGGAGCTCACACACAGAAAGGCTCATTCTACCTCTGCAGCGCTACGAGTGAAGCCAGGTGGCCGCCCACGGAGTCCTGGGGTATCCCTGCCTTTATTAGAAATGTCTGTCCTTGACAAGCATATATATATATATCTAGAAAGCTCTGCTATAGCTGTGAAGTCCAGTTGAAAAGAGGAGTGAGGACTCAGTGCTTGAGATTTGTTTGTGTTACAAGGTAGAGATGGGCAGGATATAAATGCCATGGAAGTGGAGAGAAGGATTAATGGATTCCACAAGGGGGAGCTTGAGGATGCCGTTGTGGAAGATGCATTTGAACTTCATCTTGAGGGCCAGAGCAAGAGCAGGTGTGAGGAGCAGCAATGGTATAGAAAACAGGAGAGACGACGAAAGCCTGAAAACGGAGGTGCTTTTCTAGAGTAGTGAGTAAGCTGTTGTGGCTGGGAGCCACAGCGGTTGAATGTGTCCAGTGAAAAATCAATCTGGAAAGGTAGGTTTAGGCCAGATTACAAAGTGTGGATGGTTTTAGTCTTGTGTAAAGTAGCTGGGACCTTGTCCTGTAGAAAGTGTAGTGGTCACGTTAGGAGGAAAGATGAAATCTATTATGTTTGTGCATGTTAAAATCAAGCAGTGGTAGGCCGAGCCTCTTGCCTGCAGCACCAGCATCCCATAACGGCACCAGTTCAGGACCCAGCTGCTTCATGATCCAGCTCCCTGCTTATGCCTGGGAACGTAGCAGAGGTTGGCTCAAGTCTTTGGGCCCCTGTTCCCACCTAGGAGACCGGGAAGAAGCTCCTGGTTCCTGGCTTCAGATCAGCTCAGCTGTGGCTGCTTGAGGAGTAAATGTGTGGATGGAAGAGCCCTTGCTGTCTTTCCCTCTCTCTCTATTAATGTTCCTGGTAAATGAAAATAAAATAAATATTTTTTTAGAAATCTAACAGTAGCAAGAACGGAGTAGAAAAAGGAAGGGCTAGAAGCCCAAAGATTATGAAGAAGGTCAGCATTGGTGATGAGAAGGGTGGATAGGACAAGGGTGCCGTGCTGATGAGGGTGGATAGGACAAGGGTGCCGTGGTGATGAGAAGAGTGGATAGGACAAGGGTGCCAATGTGATGAGAAGGGTGGATAGGACAAGGGTGCCGTGCTGATGAGAAGGGTGGAGAGGGCAAGGGTGCCATCAGACTCTGAAGATACAGTGATGCTAGGTAACAAGGATTGAAAATGAACACATTTGGGATGAATGCGGATATTGCTTGTGAAGAACGTGGTAAATCAGCTATTTCAGAATTCTAAGACTTTGTGCTTGCTGTTGGCCCGGCCGCTTTTCCTCTCACGTGGCAGGAAATTGCATGTGTTAGGTTGCTGTAGGCCAGAAAATGCTGGTGCCTATTGTGTGAGGTGTGTGAATTTTTGCATGTTTGTTGCACGATCTGTTTTAACTTGAAAGTAACACAGGTAACTTTTCAGTCTACAGGAGACCTATGAAGCCAAGAGACATGAATTGCATGATGAGCGACAGAGGAAGGAGGAAGAGATGAAGCAGATGTTTGTGCAGCGCGTGAAGGAGAAAGAGGCCATTCTGAAGGAAGCCGAGAAGGAGGCAAGTCCGCCGACCCCGGGCTGTCCGCCTTTCCGGGCGTGCTGCTCACTCGGGAGATTGGTCTTGAAAATCCCGTTGAAGATACTTGTCCTTTAAAAAGGTCGAATCCGAATGCAGACTTTACAAAAAAGATGATGATGTGCATCAAGTTAAAATCTTAGCCTTCTGAGTAACTATGTTTTCATTTGAAATCATCTACAAACACCTAAAATAAGCTAGGTTACTAAGGTGTGAAAGGCTTGCAGGAACCTTTCCTGAGAGTCGTTGGGGCTGTTTGCCGTGAAATTGGGCGGCTGTGAAAGCAGTGGGGCATCTTGCCTTCGCATTTGAGCTCCGGCTTCCTGGGTGTAGCAATGTTGTCTAAATCCCGTGGCAGAAGAAGGCACCACGTTGAACTTCTAGCAGAGATTTTAGTGCTGTTTGAGTAAGTGTTGTCAGTGGAGCTGCAGAACTAACTGCATGAGGATGAAGGACCACGTGGCGGTGGGCATCGCCGTCTGTGCAAGAGTCCCTGCGAGGGGCCAGAGGGGTGGTCACAGACGCACTTGGTCGGAGGCATTCCAGAAGAATTCCCTTTAATTTCATATTGCAGATTTTTAAATTTCAGATAGCCTTGTATTAATTGAACCCCACAGGAAATGACTTTGTAAAAGTAATGATCAACTCTGTTTGTAATTTGAATTTTCGTATTGTATTTAGAAAAAGTAAAATACACTTAAGAAAGTTGGTAGGAATGCGTAGTCTCACCTAGTCCCATTTTTAAATGCTTTTCCTCTCGGTTTGCTGGGCGTCTCAGTCAGCTTGGTGGATGGTGTGTGGTGTGTTCTGTAGATGTGTGAACATGAAGTGTGTAGCATCTTCCCAGCTTTCCGCCCACCACGTTCCTCCCCCCCGACCGTGGAGGTGTTCTCACAGAGAGCTGTGCCTTTGCTTTTACGTCACTGGTGTGCCTGACAAGCACAGGAGGCCCACCCCTACACACACATATACACAGTCTTTCTAAGGAACCGATGCTTCCCTGAAAAAAATGTCCTCTGAAATAAAACAGTCTCAGGTTGGCAGGCCCATCTTCTGGTTCAGCGGAAGGCTTGTACAGGGAACTCACTGGCTCAGAGCACAGCGTATTGCTCCATGTTTGGAACATACAGTGTTTTAAAAGTAATCAATATTTCTCTATCTGTCTTTATTTCCCCAAATGGCTCCAGTGGCCAGGACTGGGCCAGTCTGTGTCTCCCACGTGGGGGACAAGGACTGAGCTGTTTGAGTTAGCCTCTTGGTTCAAGTTTGTACTCTCAGCCTCTGAGTTTTAGTGACATATTCCTCAACTAGTATGTAATGTCTCTACTAGCTTGCTGCCCTCAGCTGAAAATACTAACCTCAGGTTTATCTAGCTGGACCAGGGAGAGACAGTCTAAAGGCATCATCTTTGTTGTTCTAGAACATAGATCTTTGTGTGGTTGGCAGGCATAGCCCGTGACTGATTTCATAAAAAAATATGATCAAATCTCTAGGTGTTTTTGGTGGTGGTGGTTGTTTAGGTAAACCACAATGAAATCAAGTTCAACCACCTACTTCTTTCTGCCTGATTCTTTGATCTCATATTTAGAATTTCAGGCGGCTCATCTTCTTACTAGTTTCTGCACGAGCTGTGCCCTGTGCGGGAACACAGAGATGGTTAGCTCGTCCAGTGCTGTCCTGAGAGATTGCCCGTGTGACTGTCCCGTGTGGGGACAGCCCTAGGGGAGTGTTAGAGCAGGCTGAGCTCTCAGTGACTCTTGTTTCTTGAAAGTTTATGCTGTGCCACATTGAAAGTGTGAAGTACATTGTTCAGCCCATCACCGACAGTAAGCCTTGTTCATCTTGATCCTTCCTGTGCTGTCCCCAGACATAAGAAGGCATTGCAGGGGGTGGGAAAGACACCTGTTTTGTTTTGTTTTGTTTTGTTTGTTCATCTAAAGGGAGAGTTACAGAGAGAAGCAGGATGGAACAGAAACAGAGAGATCTTCCATCTGCTAGTTCACTCCCCGGTAGCTGGAATAGCTAGGCTTGCTCCAAGTCTCCTGTGTGGGTTCAAGGACAGGAGCGCCCAGGCATCCTCTGCTGCTTTCTCAGGCTTGTAACAAGGAGCTGGATTAGGAGTGGAGCGGCTGGGGCCCAAACTGGCCCCCATACAGGATATCAACATGCAGGCTGTACTTGAACCACAGTGCTGGCCCCAGCATGCCTTTTGTCTTTGTGAAGTTTATGTCCTCTTTCTAGACAGATAACTGAGGGACATCAGAACGTATTCTTGGATTTGCTGCTTGTGGTTCTTGACATAAACTCACCCTACTGTCCAGTGGAGTTCACCAGCACAATTTTCAATAACTGTCATTGCACATGTTCTTTTTATTTGGAATTTTCAGAATTCCCTTCTATATTTCCTGTCCTTTATTTTCATTGAGCATGGACTTTGTGGGGAAAGCATAAAGAGAAAATGAAAACTAAGAAAAGGTAAAATATTTTAAAAATTGAGTTTTGTTCAGATGCTGTAAAAACTACAGGTGTTATAGGGCCAGCTCAAATAGTTTTGTGAGGAAACTCATGTAAAAATTAAAGCTACCAGCTTCTGCGTGTGTGTGTGTGTGTGTGTGTGTGTGTGTGTGTGCAGGCGCATGCGTGTGCGTGCACTGCCACAATGTGTCAGCAACAGGAATTGCACTTTTGTTTCACAGCTGCAGGCCAAATTTGAGCAGCTTAAAAGAGTTCACCAAGAAGAGAGAATGAAGCTTGAAGAGAAGAGAAGATCTTTGGAAGAAGAAATAATTGCTTTCTCTAAAAGGAAAGCCGCCTCCGAGATCTACCAAAACCAGTGCTTTATGGCATCGGGTAGCAACTTGAAGAAAGACAGAGACCGAAAGAAGTAAGAGCCCCCACCTGCCTGTCCTGAGCCTCCCCCACCCTCCTGCCACCCAGCATGGCCTTCCCGGCCCTGGCCATGCCACACCCTTACCTGTGCCACACCACCTCCTGCAGCTCTGGAGCAGCTCCCCAACAGCAGAGACCTGGCTGACTCTTCGCTGCTATGCCCAGCATCTGGAGCGGCATCCAGCATGTCCTGGATGCTCAGCAGCTGTTTGTAAGAATGAGTGAATAAGTGAGCAAAATAGAATGCCTCACAACGCAGAAAGGTCTGCTCGCTGCAGGAGGCGGGATTGGGCGCTCCCCTGCCCGGCCCAGCTCTGGCACGAGGGCGCAGCTGACGCCTGCTGACCTGCCGAGAGTCGCCAAGTGGGAGGTGTGCACTTGTTGGGGCCCTGTGGACGTAATAGAACATTTTATTTAAAAAAAAAATGTGATCCTTAGGCTCACTTTGTGTTTTTCAGCAAATTCTATTGATAATGATTGTGTAAGAATTTTTATTTTGATAAGGGAACCAGTCTATCGATTCGAACTCCTGTGCTTTGATGTCAGAGCTTGTGAAACCAATGGTGGACGTAAAGATGCAGAGGAAGGTAGTGAGGGCTTCAGTACAAGGGGGCGGCCACGAGTAGCGTTGGGATAACCTTGAGGCTTGTAGGTGCGGCTGTGTATTCAAAGCCAAGCTACCCAAGTTTCAGAAAAGAAGCTTTGCTTTTCCCTTCCCATGACTGACCTGTGTGCTCGGCTGTACGTTTCATTTCTCCTCGTTAAAATGTCCTTGTCGTTCGTTGTTGCCACTGCCTCTGTCTCCCTGCCCACCTGCTCCTGCCCTGTCCCTGCTAATCCACTTTCTCGGGGCTTCTGTCTCAAACCCAACAGATTCAGAATACTGTGCTTTTATAGTAGTTAAGAAAGTAGCAGCCCTTGGTTGATTGGCATTTTTTAAATATGGTAAACAAAATCTGTAATGTTTTGATTTATTTTACACAGCCCAAACATTTTATACATTTTATATTTGTGGCGGGGTGTGGAGGGGGAACAAAAAAAAAGGTTCCCATGTAGGATCTTTTTATACAGGAATGGTGAACCTTATTTTTTTTTTTCCCACCATGGGCCTTGTGGAAATTGACAACATTTGCAGGACATAAAAAATGATCAGCTTAAACATTCACCTGCTATAGGCTTGCCGAGTCTTGAGTCCCACCTTGCATGGCCGTGGCAGGCCCAGCCCTCAGGACTGTGCGTGCAGACACTCCCTCAGCCAGCCATCCCCGCTCCTGTGCAGTGTAGACGCCACAGTGGTCGGGGTCTTTACGTTCTGCATTGTTCCATCTGTCCTCCAGAATCTAAGGCTGGCTGCCTGACACTAAGAAGTCACAGATATTTCTTCAAAAAAGGAATAATAAGACTATAATTGCTACATTTTATTCCAACATTGAATTTCAGAAGATATATTGTCATTGATTACTGCCATTCAGCATGCTGGGAGCAGCAGAGCAAAGGGAGTTCTTACCTTCTCATCCTTTCTTACTAACCCAGTGTTGCTCAAAATTAGAATCCCTGGGTTTTTTGGTTTTGCTTTTGTTTTGGTCACCTTACTCTCCTTGATAAACCTGCCTCCTACAAAATTGAAGCCAAGCCATCGTTTTTTGTGAGCCTAGAATAATTCAGCCTCAAGAAAACATGGTTTGATGCCTTTGACGTTTCATATTGCTTTCCCAAGTAAACATTATATATTTGGTCTTTCTGTAACACTTTCTGAAACTGATGATTCTAGTCATCTTTGTTTTCTCTGTGGTTTTTTTATTGTGCTAACCCAGAGGTCTTTCCTTCTTTCCAGCTCCAGTTATATGTGATACGGAGACGGCAGAGCACAGAAGAGCGTCACAAGCCTAGGTCATTAAAGAGTTGTGAGCACGCTTGGGTTTTCTCGCAGTGTTTGTTTGCTTTGTCACTCTGTTACTGGTAAATAGCCTCAGTTAACCAACATTTATGAAAAGATGCTTTCAAGTATGAATTAGGTCAATGCCTTAGGTCAGCAGGTAAGCCGCAGTGGGTGGCACTAACATACTCACCTTTGTCAGGAATGTCTCGTTGTGTTTCGTAATGAACCTAGATCTCTTTTTCTCTTGCCAAGTTATTATCAGCTTGCAGTGCGCTGCACTGAAGAGGAGCATCGATGCTGTTAAAAAGACAGGACCAGTTAATATTTGGATATCTAATTGGATTATATGCCAAGACTAACTGTATTCTGTATGTACTATGTGCAAAGAAAATTGAAAATATGTTTTGAAATGCGTTATATAGTTAAAATTCTAATCAGAATAGTTTTATAGGACTCTCTGAATTTTTGATACAGTTACGCGGTTGTTAATGTCCTACTAACGTTTTGTCCCTGCTGAGCACGGATGCTTTGGGAGGCCTGGTGCTCAGGGAACTGATTCGATGAGGTGAAGGCCTCAAGATGCTGATGAAGCGCCTTTGAACCTGTCAGGGTGGCACTCCCCACGCTGTGTTAGCAGGTTCTGCAGAACTGTTTCCCAAGGGAAAAAGAATCTTTAATTGTTTTATTAAAAATATTTTTGAAGAAAATGGATATGAACATCTGAATATTAAAGAGAAAAAATTTGAGATATCATATTTCAAGCATATTTGCATCTATTACCTTAGTAGGTTTTTCAGAACATGTTAACACTTTCTATTTTCTTAACAGTTGTATACAAATATAAATCTTCATTTTTGTATTTGAACATTCTGAATCTGACATTTACTCAACAAATAAAATGTCCACATATTTGCTAAAATGCGTCTAAATTACTTTTAACTTTCCCTTTTGTGGGCCTGTCATCTGAAACATTTGAGCAGCGTTGTTTTATTTGATTTTACATGTAGATCATGTTAAGACACAGAGGTGTTTTACAAGTATTTTCAGAAAAAGATCTTGCTTAGTTTATGTGAGATTCTGAGCAGTGTTTTTTTTTTTTCCCATGAAGTTACTTGCACAAATTATGAAATGAAGCCTTTTTTCATAGCACAGTTTTTGTAAACAAACACTTTTAATTCTAGGTTTTCAGCTGAAATTCGCATCGTGCAGGCAGCACCTGGTGGCTCAAGTGTTGGGAGTCCCTACCCTCACATAGCGATCCAAAGTTATAAACCCTGGCTTTGGCCTGGCGCAGGCCTCGGCACTGGGAGCATTTGGGAAGTGAACCAGTGGTTAAAGCTCTGTGTCTGTGTCCCTCTCTGCCTTTCAAATAAATAAATCTAAAACACATTGCTTTCAAAAGAGAAGGCCAAATTCATAGCGCAAAGGTAACTTATGTCTGACTGAGCGCAAGGTTAGCAAATGAGTATATTAATGCTATATGAATGCTTGTATTAACAAATTACCTGGGAACAAAAAACAGTCAGGTTTAAAACTTTTCGCCATTAAGCTTATTTAAGAAAATTGTCCCTAACGGTTATCTGTCTTTGTATATAACTCATTTTTTTAAGAGCTCTTTTACATGGACCAATATTTTGAGTTTCAAGACAACAGAAAGGATAAACGTTACAGGGGTTCTTGTTGTCATTTTGTAAATTACTCAGGTTACGTTGCATTCTACTGTTGCACTTGACTGAGACCCCCATGCCGTCATGAAAGTCATGCCAAGGTGGCTGGCTGGGTGCGTGGATGGGTGTGTGCCGTGCTAAGAAAGTGCCCGCATCTCCCTCAGCACAGGGAGATGAAGAGCCAGACGCTCGTATCCTGAAGGGCTGGGAGCCAGCAGTGTGTGAAGGGAGGGGGCGGCACAGGTGCAGCACTAGCATATTTTCAGTAAAATCTTGTGTGCTTGGAAGAAAGTGTAGTTAGCAGAGAAGGCATAGGGGAGGGGCACGTGTCTAAAACACATAGTGACTGTCTGTAGAAAGAGTAGGTAACCCCATCTGATGGACAGTGAGCACGGGAGACACTGAGAGATTTGACCTTGCAAGTGCTGCTATTCCCTCCAAAGTCTGTCTGTCTGTTTCTCTTTCTCTCTCTCTCTCTCATCTCTATCTTAAATGAATAAATAATACTGACATGAAAAGACACAGGCAAACAAGTGATTTAAGTGAAGCTGCTGACTTCTGGAAACTTGGAGCTTCTTGGAGGAAGAAAACCCCTGTGAGTCCGGTGAGTCAGGTTACACCCTGGGTAGGCACTAGGCATGGTGAGCTACGTCCAGGCCAGGAGATGGGCAGGTGGCCTGACGGGAAATGGTGAGGGGAAGGGAAAGGTACAGAGCAGCGGACAGGTGTGCCATCCAGACAGCACACAGTAACACGGCGGGTCCGAACCCACGCACGTCAGTGCTTACCTGAGTTACAGACTATAGCTTTTCAGGGACAGCTTTCTAGCAGCTATCTGCATCTTGGAGCAGTTTAAAAACCTCCATCTTTGTTCACAAAGGTAGAAGAAGATGGGTTTCTATTCTTACATTATTCTTAAAAATTGATCTATAAAAAAAAAGCATATGAGCCCAGCATGGATTGGAGCAGATGGCCCAGCACCCGTGCCATCCACTCCACTGACTATCTGCACGGCCCCTGGTTCAGTCGGTGTTGCCCATGAATGTCCACGCTGAAGTTTCTAGCAAACGTAAGGGAAACTTGACTGTTTTCCAGTAGGGAAAAGGAGTCCCTGACATCCGTTTTAAGGGTAGCAGCATGGTAGCCGGGACCCTTGTACGTCCTGCCGCTCTCCGCGTGGCTGGCGCTGGCACATGGGCTGTCCCTCAGGGCAGCATCAGCAGCTCCTGAGGCAGTGTGCTCTCACATGCTGATTCTTAACAACAGTCCATTGAGTCTGTTTAAGACACGAATGACTTCCCATTTAACAACCAAAAATAAATCTGTGGTGTCAGACTTTCCCAATGAAAATACACACGCTCTGGGATAACCAAAAGAATTTCCTTTTCAGATCCGACTGTTTACAATCCCGCCAGCAGGTGCTGCTAAATCTCCACGTTGGGTCACCTGGGGCCATCCACCTCGCCGTGATCTCGGAGTCGCTGTCTCTGATTACGGCGGTCTTGTGGGGATCTCTAGGCGGGAGTAAGGCATCCCCGAGCATCACAGTGGGTCACGCCATCCAAGACACGCAGGGATTTCATCAGTCACTGGTATTTGTCCGGAAAATATGCAAGTCCTTTTGAAAAGCACTACCAAGAATCATGGAATATTCCTCGGGATGGTTGATAGGAAAGCCTTGGTCTCTTCTCGAAATCTGTCATTTTGACAAAATCACGACCTGAAACAGTGACAAATGTTTATAAAAGTAAAGGCATGTTAATCACAGAATCACTCCCGCCAGAGAGACTGTTCTTCCTGACATTTGTGTGCATTCCTATAGACACATCACTGTCCAGCCACACATCTGCACGACTCGCCTTCCACAGCCCCTCGTGATGGCTGTGTGTGTTTTCAGGGGTGGCAGGGATTTCTAGAACAATGGGGGAAGATCTTACCTACGTATGTTATTTTTTACTTCACCAAAATAATCCAAAGATAGTATGAACATGATGCTGAGACAGATTCCAAAGCATGAAGACCTACTGTCAGTTACTTCCTTTCTGTTCCACCTGCTGTGTGCACCAGCTCCAGTTACCGGTCTTGGAGTCTCCAGTCTCCCTCTTTAACTCCCCCGCTCTTCTCTCAGCACCTGCCAAGGGATCCAGATCTGTACCTCCTGCCTCCAGGCCCATATTTCCAGCTACCTGCAGGACATCACCTGTGTGGTCCACACACACAAAAAGCTCCAGGATCCCAAGTGAGCCTCCAGACGCCCACTTTCTCTGTTGGCCCCAGATCACCAACTGCCTCCCTCGACCCCACCGTTCCCTGATTTGTTAATGGCACCCCTCAGCCTGTGCCAAAGGCTGCAGCTCCATCTGCCTCTGCTAGCATTTTGATCAGAAACTGCCACCCTGGTTTGCATAATCTTGCCATCACAGCTGGTTTGACCTTGCAGGTTAGTATCTTTGCAGGGAATGGGTGATGTTGGGAGTGGGGGGAACCTGGGGGTAAAGGAAGATTCTGGGACTCTGTGACGGTAGTTTCATCCTAGATCAGCTGGGACCAGTGAGGAAAATGACCTGGGGGTGGGGTTTACATAGACAGGAGAATGGTGTCCCACAAAGGGTTGGTAGCTGCCTGGGGAAGAGGCGCAGCCTTCACTTGCTTACCTGGCAGCACCCCTCACCATCACCTGTGGCATATCTGAAAGATGAAGTGGAGCCCCAGCACAGCAGCACAAAGGAGGGTGTGTGAGCTACGATGAGGGTTTGGGCTCTGAGATGTCAGGCAGCAACCAGGACAAGGTTGGGATGCCCGGGACTGAGGGAGGGTCAGTCTCCCTTCCTGAGATACAGGGAGCATCAAGGGGGCATCACAGATATTATGTGCCAGTGCCTGCCTCTGCTCACCGCCTGTGCGCCCAAGGATGCAGTGAAGGGCAGGCGATTCCTACACCTCCGGCTCCCGAAGAGGACTTACTGCCAAGACCACAGTGCAAGGATGTGACTGCCTGCCCCCGTAGACTTCTCAGTACCTACCGCAGGGTTGGCTGCACTGGAATAAGATGGTCTCATTAAACATTGTGCTGGTATCTCCCAGCCCCTGAGAAAGCTAACAAGAAGCCTTCTGGTACCAGCAGTTCTGCCGGCTTGGCCAACCCTGTAAATCAATGTTCTCCGTGTCCCATCCTGGTGCCTGGTGTCCACTCAGCCCCGTAAGCTACATAAAGGGCAGTCAGCCTACTGGCACTTCCAATGCCCGTAAGCTTTAGACAAGATTATTTTTTTTAATCATTGTAGAAAGAATGTGTTTAGCAGATGTTGTCTGGGTTGGTTAGGATTGTAGAAAAACCACAGTGGAATGTAAAGGACACTTGAGAACAAGGAAGCTCTGGCCAGGAGAGTCCTTGCTGCTACATTTCTGACCCAGGCCCCCTACTAATATACCTGTGAAAGCAATAGACTCGGGTCCCTCGTGGGTGACCTGGAAGAATCTCCTGGCTTCTTTGAACAGACCCAGGCCCAGCCATTGTGGCCAATTGGGGAATGAGCTAACAAATGAAAGAGACTCTCTCTCTCTCTCTCTCTCTCTCTCTCTCTCTCTCTCTATCTCTCACTCTGGCTTTCAAATAAGTTAAAAAGAAAGGCTGTTGAAGACTACAGAAATAGCTGCCTCATGGTACAGAGTGTCACAGAGCCTGTCTCTTCAAGTTCCTGAAAAGCTGTCCACAGAGAACTGCACCCCAGAGGCCTCCTTGCTGAGAAACCACCATGGGGGCAGGTGGGTCTGGGCAGCTGCAGGTCCTGCTGGATCAAGGGACAAGCTACCTTTCCCCGGGATTCACCAACAAAACTTAGTATCAAGATGGCCAGCTGGCAAGGAAATAATATGTAAAGGGTCCTACTTTCCATTCCCATAGGAGGAGTGAAGGGTGTTTGTTACTGCTTTTTAAAAAAGGGTTTATTTATTTGAAAGAGAGATCTTCCACGTGCTGGTTCACTCCTGAACTAGCCATTATAGCAGCTAGTTTTGAGTCAGGGCAAAGTCAAGAACTCCATTCTGGTCTCCCACATGAATCTCCAGGGCCCAAGGACTTGGGGGTATCATCTGTTGTCATCACATGTGCATTAGCCGGAAGCTGGATTGGAAATGGAGCACCCTGGACTCAAACCAGCATGCCTGGGTAGGGATGACGGTATCCCAAGAGGTGGCTTAACCCATTGTGCCACAATGCTGTTCCCTGCTGTGGTTGCCTTTTATTTTTTGC